TGGCGGCCAAAGCACCTTACAAGTGGCATGACCTCTCTTCTCTCTTTCGAACTTTACAATGGCTTTCATAGAATGCAGGATAAAGATCAGTCTGCAAAGGTCACATTGCAAAGATGCTAACCTGTCTTTTCAGATTCATTCCTATTATATCACTTTGGAATTTCTAACGTTTTTCCGTGATTCATTCTCAGTTTTTCTCTTAACTCACAGACTCCCCCCACCCCTGCCCAATGCTCTTATACCATGTATTTGATATTTAAAATTCTATCATCCTGGGGCGCCTGGGTGGCTTAGTCGGTTAAGCGTCCGACTTTCGCTTAGGTCATGATCTCGCGGTTCGTGGGTTCGGGCCCCGCGTCTGGCTCTGTGCTGACTGCCAGCTCAGAGCCTGGAGCCTGTTTCAGTCTGTGACTCCCTCTCTCTCTGACCCTCCCCTGCTCATGCTGTCTCTCTCTCTCTCTCTCTCCTAGAAATAAATAAAAAAATAAATAAATAAATAAATAAATAAATAAATAAATAAATAAAATTCTATCATCCTTTAGAGTTCAACTCAAGTATTACCATGTTCATGATACCCTTTCCAAACTCTTAAAGTTATAAGGAATTCTGAGATGGGAAGTGGTGCAATTACAGGTTAACTAAGGTAACGGTGCCAAGAGAGACATTGGCCAACATTATTCAGAGACAGCGTGTGAAATATTTCCCACAATTGAAGTCTCGGTGTATCTTGGGCAGCCCATAAATCACTGTAATTGTTTTCCCAGTCAGCCTGCCAGCTCAAGGGCAAACGTCCCACCCTGGCCTCCTTATTGCCTTCCAGACAATCTGTTTACCCAAGTAAAAGAAAACAAAACTTGCCATTTTCAGACTTGGCAATTTTTTTCTCCTCAGCCTCCTAAATTTGTTCCATAAATCCCATTTTTGCTTTCTTTCCATACTCTCATATACAAGTTAACTCTTCATGTGTAAGCTAATCAGACCCTCTAATAAAGGTCTATAGACCACACCTATAAGGCTAATTCAATAAGATTTAATGCTGGAGTTCCAGGTCTAGATGTGGACCAGAGACAGGTGAAAGGCAGTAGAATCGTGACCTCAAAATAGATCTCTTTGGCATAAGGATTACTCTAAGCTGGTTGCTTTTCAGAAACAGAAGACACAGGAGAAGTCTGAAAACTGAGTAAAAGGTTTTATAAGAGACGTTTACATTTATAAAGTAAACATACAGGTGCAGGTGTTTTTCTCCGTGTCAGAAAGAGGAAGATGACTAAATCTTGAGAAACGCTCATCAGTGGAGAAGACGGTGACATAAATCTGCTTAACAGCCATGCTTTTATTTACTGTGCTTTTCCTAGTGACTTCTCATACGCCCCCACCCCACCCACTCTTTTGCCTTTAGCTGGAGATGTTATTTAAGGTGGTGGTTGGGCCATTTCAGGGAGTGACTGAATTTTCCCGGGTCTCTTTCATGTATACAGGAGGTATACATGTTATTAATATTCTATTTTTTCTTTTGTTAATCTCTCTTTTTAATACTGAGGTGTCTCACCCAAGAACCTAGGAAGGTAAAGGGAAAATTATTTGTCCTCCCCTATGCAGTCATCCTGTATTGTCCTATTTGCCTCCAAACCACAGATAAAACTAGTCGTCATAGCCCAGTCGATCTTTCTCAGACCCATCTTCCCCCAGGAAGGAGAGCCTGTATCGTCCTTATTCTTGTGTAAATCAATATATTCCCATATTTCAGGTCTCCTTCTTGGATTAAGAGCTTTGTGCCTTCTAGTCGACTCCTCCCGCTATGTAGGGGCAGACACCTCCTTTCAGATATTGATATCCCACTGGACACTACTCTCAAAGAAAACTTTGTTCTCATTGGCACATCTGTACTTTTTTGCTGCTTTAGTGAAGTAGGCATTGATTTAGATTAACTTGGGATGTATTTTGTCATAAAATGCCTTTTCCCCATTTTAGAAGTCACTCACTTGAGCTTTCCCTTAAATCTGGTCTTGCTGAATCTTTCCCATCCTAATAAATAGCTACACCTTCCATGTATTGGCGCAGGTCACTGATCTAAGAATTATTTTTCACCCTTTTCCCTTACTACATTTCCCTACTCAATCCATCAGCACGTTGAGGATCTTGTCTCCAACGTATCTTTCAAATCACTACATTTATCTCTGTTTCCACCTCTAACATCACCATGTTTGCCCACAGTCATGGGTTATCCACAGCCACATCTTGTCTACTCTTCCTCAAGACCTCCCATCTGGCCTTCACGCTTTCATACTTGTCGTCCTCCAGTCCATTCTCCTGTAGCATCAAGAGTCATTGTCTTTGGGGGCGCCTGGGCGGCTCAGTTGATTAAGCATCCGACTTCAGCTCAGGTCATGATCTCACGGTCTGTGAGTTTGAGCCCCGCGTCGGGCTCTGTGCTGACAGCTCAGAGCCTGGAGCCTGCTTCAGATTCTGTGTCTCCCCTTCTCCCTGCCCCTCCCCTGCTCATGCTCTGTCTCTCTGTTTCTCAATAAATAAATGTTAAAAAAAAAAAAAAAGAGTCATTGTCTTAAAATTCAGATTGCATAAAGTGACTCACTGTTCAAACTTTACAATGGTTTCTCAATGCACGTAAAATATAGTCTAGACTCCTCGCCCCCAAGACTCCTTTTCCTGCTCAGACTCCGTTTTCTGCAGTTCTCTCCTTAGCTTACTATAATTGGCTACTGTTTCTTCGGTTCCTCACACTTATCCAAATTTTCACCATCTTTGAAAATGTTCTTCCCTCTTGTGCCTTTTCATGCAGGTTCTCTGCACTAGTCATGCTTGCTACCATTTTATTTTTGACTTTTTCTTAAGCTCTGTGAGGACCATGAGTCAGAGTCCCTGACTGTCTTGCCCACTCTTTTACCCCCAGCTGCCTCTGCACTATTCTTGGCAGAGAATTTCTTCATTAATGCCTGTTGAACAGAGAATGTAATGGACAACACAGTTAGATGTGTTATATTTTGGGGAGGAAGGACATATATTTCAATGTGACTGGAAGGAAGGAGGAAAGAGCAGGTACAGATCTACAGAGGCGTATAGCTTTGGGCTAGGACGTTACCTGAAGGCTTGATTTCCTTTTTAAATGAGGAGGACAAGTTCCCTGCCTCAGATTAATGAGGAGGTGAGAGGGTGTGGGGTTTGAAGGGAGCCACTGAAATTTGCATAACTACTAAAAGGAGCTGAGAATTGCTAAAGAAACTCTAGAGGAAACGGTTGATGGCTCAAGTGGTGTTGGAGACCATGACCTTATCTCTCACTAGCACGGGGATTTCTGCAGCCCTGCTCAGCAGTGTAGGCGTTGGGAAGAGATCCGTTAGCTTCATGGAACCAATGTTAAAGTCTGAAGGATAGGTGTGAGGAAAGTAAGAAGGGGTTTTAAAGAAATTGAACAGTGGTGATGAAAGTGATTACACTGATTAACAGGTAGATTGAGTAGAGACCAAAGTAAAGCCAAGTGTGTATTAATATTCTGACAAAATGGAAGGGTTACAGGAACAGAAGACTCCACTTGTCTGAGGAGAGTGGAGAGGGGAAAAGGAGGGCTGAGAGATCTCTTTAGAATAGGATACCTACAGGCAGGATTTCTGCCAAGATTTTTTTCTACCAGATATTTTAATTTCTTCAAGAATGTGGTATATTGAAGGACGAACGAGCCTAGAGGATTTTATGGAACGTGTGATAATGAAGCGATTCATTTGGCAGTGGCAAAACAAGGCCACCTCAGGGTCTATTAACAATTCATACATTTTAACAATTTCCAGAGGCAATGTGATAAATGACTCCGGATAAATTCAGATCACCAGCAGGTTATACTCAATTAGAACATTTCCCCCTTGGGCTGAGTGAACATCCCAAGAATGTATTTAATGAAGTGCTATGTGAATCAGCCTTTCCCTGGGTATGACTCCCCCAGTGGTGAAGCTAATTGCCGAATAACCGAGTTTTCTCAAACATGCCTTACCTCTACACAGACTACTTTAAAAGGAATCACATATCATTAGTTGTTAACCTCAATCGACAAATACTTATTGATGAAATAAAGTGACTTCGACATGACTTAGCCATAGCCTAACAAGCTGAGTGGCCAAAGGACGAATGAGAACACAATTCTCAGAATCATAGTAGCCTAGTGAAAATTAGATGCCACTAGTAAGAGTAACAAAAACATGCGCATAATATGCTACGAATCTTGTCACTTATGTTTAGCTTATTTGAGCCTCACGACAATCCTTGGAGGTGTTATTATCCCCCATTTTACAGATGAAGAAACTCCTTTGTCAGGTGGACAGCTTAGCCCTAGACGGTGGGATGGTGTCATGGGAAGGATAACATCCAGGCTGAGTTTAGTTAGTCGCTCCAAGAATTGGAGAGGGGTGCCAAGAGGCTCACACAGGAGAATACATTTTCTACCATGGCCACTAGGTGGCAGTGAGGGCCACTCCTAGAGACTAGCGTGCGTCACTCTAGATAACCTGGCTTTAAGCGCTCAGCCGGAAGGCGAAAAGCATAACAATGCTATTCTTTTAGAGGGAGAACCGACTGCGTGGGTATGCGCATGCGTGCACGCGGGCGCAGGTGTGCATATGTTTGCAAGGCAGAGGAGCTGAGAAATTAATAGAGACCGTTCCTGCACTCTGTGCAGCTTCTCACACTCCTAGTGAGTAGGGCCGGAGTGAAGGAAAGACCTTGATATTCGGCACCATTCTCTGTTCCCTTAACCCATATCTGCAATCCTACCCTAGGATCCTGAATGTCCACTTAGGTATTACGTGTGCCAAGAGTGATCACTGTCATTCAGTAGAAAAGTGAATGTTCTTTCCAGAGGAAGGATTCCTGGCTTTGGTGCACTAATGTCTATGGCTGTGCCTACACTCTTGTCTTTCTCCTCACATGTATTACCATCTACTATTGCGTTACAGCCGGCAGAAAGAAAAAACGCCTGCCGTAGCCCAAAGGTACATCTGATGCTGTCTTGGTTCAGCAGTAGTCAGCATCGCTAGAGGTTAGTTGCAAATTTTGGCCATTGGATAAGGAATTAGAGTTCGCAATTAGAGCATTCCATATTAGAAAATACATGTGGCTGGAACTGAAAGGTTGGGACCCATCCTTTCCACTCAGTAATGTCTAGTTGTCCTCCTAAATCTTCCGAAAGTTAGAAAAAGAAACGTCCCACTTGTCTGTCTGGAGCTACTCTGGGGATCTCCCCCCCCCACCCCCTCCATTTATAAAACCAGAATTCCCATCAGTTGGAAGCGGGTCCTGCTTGAGGAGACTTGTCGAGTGGAGGCGGCTGCTTTTCTCCCCGCACTGGGGGTAGGTCAGGTGTTTTCGGTCCACACCTCGCAACGGTGAAGCGACTCATGCGAAGGGACTCCTCATACCCTGGGAGGGTGTCCAAGGAGGAGGGCAGCTGGCCCAGGGGGCTGTGGGAGTGAGCCACCGCCAGGATTCTTCGAGCCGCGGGGCCAAATATTGACTGCAGCGCTGGCGAGGAAAGAAGGGACAGAGCTAAGGAGAACGCGGCATCCTCAGAAATCGGCCTTAGACACACTTAATCCTCCCATCTTTAGCAAGTGTCCACACTCATTGTCACGCTCGGCCAGATGTCGTAAAAATCCCGTGAGGCCTGTTTAGAAACCAAGTTCACTCTGCTAGAAGAGCCTGTCTTCTCCAGGGTCCCCAACGAATCTAAATTGTGGTCCCATGTGTCACAGCCCTGCCCTTTCACTTTTATAAAAGGCTTGACACCAACGCACTGATAACGCAGACTCCTTAGGAATGTTTCTTTCTGTCTTATTTATCTCTTCTCTAAAATGACCATAAGAAAACCAGGAAAGGTGAACGGCAGACATAGTCTCTTTTCAAAATAAATATCACAGTGTTGTGACACCTGCTCTTCCGCCTGGGGTTTCTTCTCCCGTTTCAGGAAGGAATATAATATAAAGAAGAGAACAGAAGGGGATAATGGAAAGTGTTTTATAATCATCAAGGGAATGTTAGGCAGCTATTTAAGTGTATCCATACATATGCTACAGAACAAGGGATTGAAAGTCACATGCCTAATTTCTCCAATGATATAAAATAATATATATTGACAATAGAAGATACAAGTTCTCACAAAATCCAAGACATTTTTGAAAAAAAGGATACACTTATTATTTAAAATAATTTTATCAAAATAAGTTTATAGAGTAGGTAATTCTTCCTATAAAACAGTACCAGGGGCTGCTGGGTGGCTCAGTCGGTTAAGCCTCTGACTTGGGCTCAGATCATGCCTGGAGTCTGCTTTGGATTCTATATCTCCCTGTCTCTCTGTCCCTCCCCCTCTCATGCTCTGTCTCTCTCTGTCTTAAAAATAAATAAAATTTTTTTAAAAAATTTAAAAAAAATTTCCAGTATTTTCTCCAGCCTTCTATTTCTTTCTTCACTCTATCATTAGTCAGGCTTCCTGAAATTATAACGACCCTGAGTTCTAGAATCCTCATACTATCCAGGGGTGCCTGAGTGGCCCAGCCTGTTAAGCATCTGACTGTGGCTCAGGTCAGGATCTCACAGTTTGTGAATTCCAGCCCCACATCTGGCTCTGCACTGACAGTGTGGATGGAGCCTGCTTCGGATTCTCTGTCTCTCTCTCTCTCCCTCTGCCCCTCCCTGGCTCATGCTGTCTCTCTCTCTGTCTCTCCAAAATAAATAAATAATTTTTAAAGAAAAAGTTTAAACAATTTCTAAAATATACTATTCAGTCTTTGTTTCTATATCTGTTGCACTGTCCTGATGGTTTTTTAAATCACCCTCCAGCGTTATAATGTCACAGTACTCACACGTGATAGTGCTCTGCAGGGTGCTGTCATGATCAAAAGCAATGACTGTCACTTCGTAGGGAGGCCGGCCCTCGTCTTCCCCATTTTGCTGGCGACTCAGGCAGCAGCGGAAGCACACGGAAGTCAGGCCACACAGGAGCAGCAGCGCGCCAATCACCACCAGCAACCTGCAAGGCGATCACCGGACAGTGAGAGAGCCCTGTGGTCCGGTGTGTTTCTCAGCCCTGGCAATAACCGGCCTTCGGTGTCTGCACTCTGACTTTGTTTGAATATTTTTAGATTGACCATAATACTTCTTAATACGCATATACTTATTTGACAACAAGACCGAAATGGGTCGTTAAAACAAGAAGGGCTTTGGGGTGCTTGGGTGGCTCAGTTGGTTAAGCATCTGACTTCGGCTCGTCATGATCTCATGGTTTGTGGGTTCGAGCCCCACATCGGGCTCTGTGCTGACAGCTCAGAGCCTGGAGCTGCTTCAGATTCCGTATCTCCCTATCTCTCTGACTCTCACCTGCTCAAGCTCGCTCTCTCTCTCTCTCTCCCTCCCCCCCCCGCAATAAATAAAAACATTAAAAAAAAAAACAAGAAGAGATTTACTGTGGTGGGGTGCCACTTTCTAAAGTATTCTCCTTTCTGTGGAAATTTCTGGGGCTAACCCTGAGAAGGTACACAATAGCTTTTTGATATTGGCCAGGAGATGTTATTGAAATAGGAAATCCTGGCATATTGTCACATAGTTAACGATGAGGTAAAGAAACCTTACTCCATGGGCTGCGAGGTGAAGTAGGCTGGGTGTCTCATACATTTTGTTCCCCCTGGTGTCAATATATTTAAAAACTAAAAAATATAAATAAATAAAAAAACCACATGCTCTTGAGAAAAATAAAGCTCCTTTGGGATGTCTTTCTGGGTATTAGAGTTGAAACTTACCATATATACCAGAGATGTACCCAATCTGTGGTCAGGCAACTATGAAGAAAGAATAAAGTGGGTTGTGTTTTTTTTGCAATAAAAATATAGTCAATGCCTGTTGTAGTTCCAGAATCAGAAATATGAGTTACAGTGTAATATGCTGCCTTGTTATAACAAAGCCATCACAACTTATATATGTATTTTTTAAGTTTGTATTTTAGTTCCAGTTAATTAACATACAAGTTGTATTAACTTTAGTATAACCAGTGGAATGTATTGCAAAATGGGATGCCTTAAGAAGTACTTTATACTACAGATGGCATTGTGTAAATAATTTTGTAAATCATTATAAGACTGACTAGAGCAGTGATTATGAAAAGAGCATTTATAGAAAGTATAAATGGCGACCACTGTAAACCTATGAGGACGATTACCAAGGAAGAGCTTGGAATGTAGGTTTACAAAGTTTGAAAATGGACAGGAAGGTTAATGTTTGGATACATTAGAGATTGATACAATTTAAACATAAAGATTTCAATTACAAGCATGAAAATACAGTGAAGTTTGTATTTATGCGTTGCAAATTGTCGCAAAAAGGGCCGCCATAAAAACTCTCACCATAAAAAAAAACAAACTCAACCCTGAACTTTCACCTCCAAGGTCAAAACTGATATGCACACCCACTAAAGCCAAACAGGAAGGAACAAAAATGTCGAAGCCAACTTTGCGTATTGAAAGTTAATTAAATTAACTAAATTAATAACAGTAATTATAAATTTTCTCTATGGGGTGAAAAAATATGGATTGCAGAGGAGAAGGAATCATGGGTGTCTAAACCTTAGACAATGTGACAAGCAGCCAAGGCCAAGGCCACCCCATTTCCCCTGGGTTTAACAGACTTGGCTATTGAGAAACCCTTCCCATGGCTAAATATGTGTTTTCCCGCAGGCTGAGCAAGTGTTTCATTCCAACTGGCCCTGCTTTGTTTTGTTTTGTTTTGTTGTTTATTAATTTACCACCAAGCGAATTGAATCTCTTCTCCTTGTATGTCCTCTGTGCCTATGTAAGACCTAATTGTGATGGGTTTAGATTAAGGGATATTGACTTCAAAGTGATAGCTAAAGGACATCAGCAATACATACTGACATGCCCTGAAATATGGAAAATGCTTTTCATACTTCAGGTGGTGATGTTACTTTGGAATTACCCAAACTTATCTGCCCAGGAGGAGATTTTGAGCCTAGTCTGTCTTGATGAGTCACTAAGAAGCATGGGAAAGAAAACCTTTTGCAAATCTCTGTTATGATATAAATTGAGATTAATTCTGATGCTTTAATGGGAAGATTGGCTTTAGGGAGAAAATGGCATCAGTGATATTATTTTAAGTACCTAGGATGACGCACCAGTGCGTGTCTTTATTTTTGGGTAACCCAGTCTGTGAGATTACTGGGCTGATGCCCATTTAAGTAAAGATAAAGGGAAGTCACAGATATCTAATGACCCCTTGACCTTGTGTTGGGTCCTAATGTTTTTGTCTGTTTCTCCTTCCCGGTTTGGTCTCAGATACTTACTGTTCAGGATTCACACAGTCCTCCTCACATCTTGCCCGAGGAAGCTGTAGGAAGGGAAATAGTCTCAGACAGGGAAATGTCTCATTGCTCTGCTTAGCAGCCTGTTGACCACCCTCATGACTCTGCATCATGATAGCTGGGAAGATATGAGGACAAGGTCATAGGATCAGCCAGGTTTAGGATTGTTTGTTTTCATTGCTCCCATGCTGCTTGATTATTATATTTGAAATGGGAGAAACTGGAAGAGCAAATATCTTTGCTTTGGGGAGGTTATTGTTTTGTTTTGTTTGTTTTGTTTTTTGGAGGTGGGTGAGCATTACAACTTAGGCAGCATTTAAATCAATTTGTTTGTCCTAGAAATTTCCTGATCTGTCCCCCAGCATGTTGTTACTGCCTTCTTAATTCTTTCCCAGTTACAGACTGAATTCTACCTCACTCCTCTTTTTTTATTCCCTTAGTACATCAAGAACACACCGTACGAAAAAAGTGGGGGGGAGGGAGACAAAGGGAGGAAACAATTGTATTTATTCAGTAGCTACTATATGCCAGTCGGCTAAGATTTTTCACTATGTCATAACGCTTCATTGAGATAATCTGGTAGGTGGGTATATTTAACCTTATTTTGAAAGATTAAGTGATGGAGGCAAAGGAATTTAAGTTAACATGACGGACTGAGTGCTCCCATTGAGGTAGCCAGATCGGCCTTTATCATATATATGCATTGAATAATTACTAGAACAAGGGATAAACTTGCCCTAACAACTCCTTGGTATTGTTAGCAAGCCCCTTCTGCTACTAACAGTGAAAGATTCTACTCCTTCTTTTACCTTGTATTTCAGTTGACTTTCTCCCTAAATAGAGAAACTTGTATTCAGAAACTGTATCTTTCTTCCAGTAACTTAAATGACTTAATATTTTCAGGAAATCAACAACAAAAACCACAAAGGCCCCCAACAAGGAACAGAGATTTGTGCTTATTGAGGGTTTATGGGTTAGGGGACATGCAAAATCATAACACATCAGGCAAAAAGGATTTGTAAAAGGACTAACCAGCTGTCCTCTGCGGATAACATTTGAGAAACTCTCTCTCTCTCTCCCCCTTTTTCTCTCCCTTTAATTTGAAATAGTTGGCCATTAAAGATCACAAAGTATATTTTCTCAGCCCAGCCCTGATTCTTTGTTTCTCTTTTCTGACAAAAGGTAAGAAAAACTTAACGTGCTAAACAGATAAAGTTCTTCTTTGGGGTACTACTGCAGGAAGGAGAAGGAAGAGGAGAAGAAGAAGGAGAGGGAGAATGAGAAGAAAGAAGAAGGGGGAAGGAAAAGAAGAGGAAAAGAAGAGAAGAAAAAAAAGAAGAGGACAGAAGGGAAGGGAAAAGCAAGGAAAAGAAGAGGAAGCACAAGGAAAATACAAGAAGAAAGAAATGGATTTGAAGACATTATTTTAACTAGGACACAGAAAACAAAACAGAGAGCCCATCCCCTGCTAGGAGCTGTAAAGGGAGGGATCTGATATGAGACAGTTGCTTCATTTGCGTTTCCTCTTTACTAGAGTTCATAGCTATGTAAACTTCCCCTTTACAGTTGTCTGGGATCCTCAATCCAATGACCCTTTTCTCAGCTAATAAGTTAATATTTAGGGGCTTCTGATTTTTGGTGGGGAGAAATAAAAAGTCCAAAGTATTTTCAAAGAGTTTTTCCTCTATTAACTTATTTCTGATCTGGAGACATCTACACTGCTAGAATTGTACCAGCACTGATGTGGAAACTCCATGTAGGAAAACAATGTACTTCTTTTTGATAATCTATTTGGGACTTTGAGGAATGGGTGATAAGATGCTAAAAGAAATATAGCTAAGTGGCGCTTCCAAATGACCATAGCTATCCTGCATGTATCAATGGTTACCCTAATTTCTGCCACACACACCCCCTATTTCATTGATGCCATTGGCCACGCATGGGCCATGTAACACTATAACACTGAGGAAAACGTTCCAGTTCTTCTTTCCCCACTACCCCTTTGGCTCAATAGATGTCTTTCTCCTCATTCACTTCCCCCAAGGGTCTTCTGAGAGTTGGGGGAACAAACAAAGTTTTATGTATGTTTTCTCAACTCACCTGGATGAAATACACCAGGGCAGAGGTTGTCACAGCCTGGGCATGCATCCTCAGGGAGCTGAACTTCTCCAGGATCATGGACTGAGTGTCCGTTATCTCCTTTCCATGCTCTGTGCCAGGTCTGACTTCTGGACCTGGAGAACTTAAGGAGACAAACTTTTCTCAGCAGTAAATCTGTTTTTGTCGTCTCTCTCTCGCTCTTTCTTATTCTTTCGTTCTGTCCTCTTATTCCTTTGGGCTTTTATTTTCTGTGGTCTTTCTCTCCCCTTTCATCCTGACTTCTTTCTCTATTTCTTTTCTGTTTTTATATTCTCCATGTTCTCTTCCCTCTGTCTTCTTTCCTTCGCTATTATTAATCTTTTCTGTATGTCCGTAACTTTCTCCCACTGCCCCCAAAAGGAAGACTCAGGGAGGACACATCAGTCCTCAGAATTATGGATTTTTCTAGGCAGGGGTGAGGAACTTAACTTTAGGAGCTCAAAGACAGATTGCTGGTGACCAAACAGGTTCTCGTCTCCATCAGAAAAGGAGTGATATTCTTGGTCCTTTACCACCACCCTTCAGGGAGACTGTTGAATAATTGCCAAGCTCCATTCACTCCCCCTTTCCATGTGATTAGCCCTCCTCTCTTGCTCCCTGAAACTCTCCCCTTTGCTATGTTGATGATCAACTCTCCTAGTTCTGGGTCATTTATTCTTAACCATTGCAGTAGGACTGAGAGGTTGACCAATGGACCGGAAAGCTCTTCCATCTTTGAGGAAAGCAGGTTTGGGGATTAGAATGTTTAGGTGGTGACCATGAAATTCCCCTCTATCCTGACTACAGTTCTCATCAAAACAGATAAGTCAGACGGACACACATATTTTTTTAACTGAATTCCAAGATCTACAAGTCTTTAGGTTTCTCTCTCTTTCTTAAATAAAATCTAAGGTCAGAATAAAAATAAGCACACATGGTAGGGGAATAGTTGTAAAGGAACATCTCTATAGGAACAAATGAATGCTATGTAATAGACTTATACCTAGCTCACTAATCGTTTCCTTAATAAAATATTTCCAAAAAACTTTAATATACAAAGTATTTCATAGGAAAATTAGCCATTAGTTTATGCAGATATGGCTGTCTCATAAGAATTGAATAAAACCACCTTTCAGATCGTATCTAATTCTGAAAGTCTACTTTTACTGAATGATTGTTGATGGCATTCATTGGGTGGGAGTGATTCAAAGAGTCCTCACACAGCATTAAATGAGATAAGCATGGAGAAAATAACTTTTTTTTCTTAGCTAAATAATTGAATAGTGACCGAAAAGCCTGGTGATTAGATATCCTTAAATTACAAAGCTAAATGAGCATTGCATTATTTTTTGAAAAGTAAGGGAGATGGTGATAAAACAAAGAGTATTTTTCAAATTTCGCCAGAAAACTTGGCAAGGTGGGAGGTATTTTATAGGATCAGGAGACCAGAAAAACCTGACCCTCTACTAAATTATTATGTAGTTTCTCAAAGCTTTAATTTCCCCATTTATAAAATAGGAGGGGAGTGGTCGCTTGACCGGCTGTAGATGTTGTTCCATAGAGAAAATGCCGTTGAAGACAAAAAGGATTTTGATTAGAATATTTCTATTTCTGTTTAGAGTACTCCACATATAATAACATCACTAATTTTTCCCTTCTCTTGTCAGAGATACAATAGAGTATCATGGCTAAGAATTCAGCTAGGTTATCTGGGATTAAATACTTGCTTTGTACTTAATAGCTGTGCGATCTTGGGCAAGTTACTATATCCCTGTTGGGTCAGTTTCATTCTATCTAAAATGGGGTAATGATATAATGATGTTACTTCATAGACTTAGAGAGATTTAATAAGGTAATGTATGTGAAATGCATATAATTGTCCTGATGTGACAAGTATTTTATAAGTTTTAACTAAGATTAATTCTCTTGATTTCCATTCAGTTCTACCAGTGACCTTCACCTTCAATAAGCTGTATAACTGATGTCCTGTCAGTGAATTCTTACCATGCCTATGTTTTAGCTTTCCTGGTATTCAATTTGGAATATTTCCCCTTGCTGTTCTGGTGATCTCTTCTCCAATCATGCCAGCCAAACCCGCATGAACAGGTTTGCCAATTAACATGGCTTGTGCCCCCACTGCTCTTTCCTGCATGTGATTGCCATCATCTTTTTGCCCTCCAGCTTTCTAACAGGTTTGAACAAAATAGGATTCTTTTAATGACCTCCTTGTTAATATCCCTTCTTAGAATAACTACGGCCATTTTTTCTCCCTCACTGGATTGTTCTTCGGAAGAGTAGAACTTGTTTATCCTAATGCGAGTGATTATGCCTTGTGGTGATTTTAATGCCCAGTTCTGTCCCTGTCAAACCTCTACAACAGGAATGATGAGAGAGGAAATAGGATCTACGTAGGAACATTAAACAGGGTACACACTGGAAGGGCAGGTAGCTGAGATGGAGGGGAATGACCTCCTTGCAATCCTACACAATCCTGTAGTCCCATTAAGTTTGTGAATCATTAGCTTTTAACCAGACTGTTAGGCACTTGGAGTGGAACCAATGGAGGGTACATGTACATAGGCCTTTTCACCTATGCCTCAGGAGATTGTTATACAAAACCTGTAACAAGTGGAGCTAAAATATTACTTGTTTTTGACCTCTTTGATTATTCTACTTTTGACTTTGCCTATTATCAGATGGCCAACCATGAATTCCCTTCCTTTCCGTGCCTCAGTGAAATCGAGTCCAGGACTACCATTACTGTGAGTCATCAAGCATGAGTTATAAAGTGTTGAGCAGTGAGTTGGGCCACACCCAAAGCTTCAAAAATAGATAATAAAGCAGAAGAAATTGGTTTCATCTTGCAACTACTCCACTAGGAAGTGCCCCTGTTTTAGGAAGCCACGCTACAGTGTAAGCATTGAGTGACAACCTCAGAGGCATTGACAGTCAGGGCTAGATTTAAGAAAATTTAACAAAATAGAAGGATTAAGTTTATTAAAGGGTTATTAATTTTATATATCATATAACATTACCAAAAATTATATGAGCACACTTTTTAAAAATATATATATATATCACAGTGTCTGTGGATAGAAGTATAAACATAGCTTGGTTGAGTCCTCTGTTTAGGATCTCACAGGCTGAAGTTAAGATGTCTTCTGGGTGATATTCTCATCAGAAAGCTCAACTGGAAAAGGATATGCTTCCAAGCTATCTCAGACAGGAATTCATTTCTTTGTTTTTTAATGTTTTGTTTATCTATTTTGAAAGAGAGAGAGAGCAAGCATGGGAGGTGCAGAGAGAGAGGGAGAGAGAGAGAACTCTAGGCAGATTCCTCACTGTGAACACAGAGTACTGAGCCCAATGTGGAGCTCAAACTCACAAATTGTGAAGATCATGACCTGAGCCGAAATCAAGAGTCAAATGCTAAACTGACTGAGTCACTCAGGCACCCCAGGAATTCATTTCTTTGTGGTAATAAGATTTATGTAATCTTGCTTCTTTAAATCTGGCCAAGAGGTGAGAGAGAAACTTTGGCAAAATAAGCACTATACCTTATGTAATCACACATATATAATCATATACATTCTATCACCTTTGGCACATCCTAACCACAGATACCACCCACACTTAAAGGGAGAAGATTACACAAGGGCATGAATGTCATGGGGCAGGGATAATGAGAACTAGTTACAGTCTATGAATTCTGTCCAGCTATCTGCCACGAAAGGATTGTAGAAATTATCTCATGGGTCTTAGAAACACAAATGTCCGTCGATGGATGAAAGGATAAGCAAAATGTGGTATATACATACAATGGGATATTGTTCAGCCTTAAAAATAAAGAAAATTCATGGGGCATCTGGGTGGCTCAGTTGGTTAAGTGTCCAACTTTGGCTCAGGTCATGAACTCACAGTTTATGGGTTCAAGGCCTGCATTGGGCTCTGTGCTGACAGCTCAGAGCCCAGAGCCTGCTTCAGATTCTGTGTCTCCCTCTCTCTCTGCCCTCCCTGTTCACACTCTGTCTCTGTCTCTGTCTCTCTTTCAAAAACAAATAAACATTTAAAAATGAAAGGAAAGAAGGTACAGACTTTCAGGGCATCTGGGTGGCTCAGTCAATTAAGTGTCTGACTTCGGCCCAGGTCACGATCATGAGTTTGAGCCCCACATCTGTCAGTACACAGGCTGTTTAGGATTCTCTCTCCTTATCTCTCTGTTCCATCCCCGCTCTCATAGTCTCTCTCAAAATAAATAAATAAACTTAAACAAAATTTTTAAAAAATAAAAATTATAGAGTTTTAGTTGGAGAAGGAGAACAGTTAGCTACATTCTTGTCTGACCTCTGATAGAAAAGAGATGTTTAGTAAATCTCTTACATTTTCTGGGTTTTAGCTCCACTTTCTCAAAATAAAGACCTAAGACCTATTTTCCTTAAATGCCTTTGTATTTTTAAAATCCAGCTTATGCTGGTGATGTTTTAGTAGCTAAGAATCTCAAGTGTTAACTGCCTACTTTTTGCAGAATATTACAATGTATATGGTATTCCAGGGTGATAGGAAAGACCAAGCTTCTCTTAACAGAAGGGGATCTAACTTTACCTTTAAAGAGCTTGTAATTTGGTTGGAGAGAGGGAATAAGTTTACTGGAATGGAAAACCAATAGAGTGCTCTATTAGAGTATATAAAGTGGGGGAGGGGGGAGAACTGATGGTGTAGCAGGATTCTTGCACAGAGGACTGTGATACCAAGCCTTTTCTTTCCAGGAAGCAACTTTACTCCTGCCGGCACCGTGAAGTTGGGTTCGTACCCAAAGAACTGAGCCCTGAATGCCACGTGGTGTAGTTTTTTAAATATATTTTCTACTTCTTTGTCTCCCGTTTGTCTCCGGTACGTGGTAACACACAAACATGGAGTCTGGTCTAGTGGTCTCATGTTACAAGGTCATGAGGGATGTTGTCACAGATAGCCTGGTATTTTTTTTCTTTCCTTAAAAGGAGACCCTACCACAATGATGGCAAGCCTACCTACAGATGTTAAATGCAGAGAATTTTTTTTAAAGAAAAAAAAGTGTCTTTGAAGGAAGTACAGGATTTGTAGAGCTCATCATGAGATCCAGGACTGCTTAGTGAGTGTCTTATAAGTATTGACCCCTAACACAATGGATGATTATGCTGTCCTGGGTTTTGTGGGTGGGGTGTGAAGGTGACTATCTGAAGTCTGTGACATCTAGCTCAATCTTAGGCCTCCTTCAAAGAATGTAGTTCCTCCTAGTGTTGTGTGTTTCTTTGGGTGTTTTAGTTACATAGTCACATATGTTTCTCCAAGACACTTCTTCCTCGGACTATCCATAAAAGGTAACTAGCTCACAAGAAAAATGCGTCATGTCGACAAGTGTACATCTGTATCTCATCTAAATCCACTAGAATATTAATGGCACACAAAATAATCGAGTCACTGTGGGGAATGGTAAAGTGTCCTTTTCATTGTGACATAATTTCAGCATTTATTACTTCGTTATTAAAGCCACTTTCCTGAGATTCTTTTTATCTGAATAGATAACTCACTATGGTGAATGCAGGCAGCAATCTTGCTTCCTGGCACTTACAGTCAAGGGAGGTCGGGGAGGGCTTGAGTGTGAAAGGTAAGTAGCATGGATTTGTTACAAGCTGATTTGACTAGGATGTATTTGCTACATGCTGAACTTTTTTGGCGACCTGAGTCCTAGAGAAAAACTTTAAATGACAGATGAACTATGTTCAGTTTGGTCTCAGATACCCTGCACAGAAAAAGAGAAAACAGAAAATCCAGGGAAGAAGAGGAAAATGGAATCCTAATGAGGCTGTCAATATCAGTGATTTTTCTTAATAGTTTCCTAGCTATTTTATTTATGTATGTATATTTTTTCAATGTTCTTTTATGTGTCCCCTCTTTTTATATTTTTTTTCCTGGCATAGTTTAAAGCAAATTCCAGATATCCCATCATTTTGCCCATAAATACTTTAGAAAATATGACTAATAGATAAGAACTTTTTAAAAAGCACGTTGAGGTGTCTGAGTGGCTCAGTCAGTTGAGTGTCTGACTTCAGCTCAGGTTATGATCTCATGAATTCAAGCCCCACATGAGGCTCGTTACAGTCAGCTCAGAGCCCACTTCGATCCTCTGTCCACCCATCCTGCCCCTCCTTCATTCATGCTCTCTCTCTCAAAAATGAAAAATATTTTTAAAAGTATGTATAACTGCAGTAGACATTTATTCTTTGTTTAGGAGGTTGTGAAGGGAAAATAGGTGAGAATTCTGTCAATGTATTCATATAGTCATCCTTATGGGGAGATCAATGAAAAGTCTTTGTGACTCCAATCAATTATATGTAAAAATGTATTCTTTTCTGGGCAATTAAACTGTGCTAAATATTACTAGTACTAGTATTAATAACTATAATTTATGGAGTTCTTATGTTTGAAGTACAGTACTTAGCATTATCACTCAATATTTCATATGAATCCTTATAGCAACATTAGCAACATTATCCAATGTCCCAATTTATAGACATTCCAATGTCCCAATTTATAGACAAAGACATAGATTCAGGAGTGTCTGAATGGCTGAATCACTTAAGTGTCTGACTGGCTCAGGTCAAGATCTTGCGGTTCAACAGTTTGAGCCCTGCCTCCGGCTCTGGGCTGACAGCTCAGAGCCTGGAGCCTGCTTTAGATTCTGTGTCTCCCTCTCTCTCTGCCCCTCCTCAGCTCATGTTCTGCCTCTCTCTCTTCTTCACACGCACAAAAATTAATAAACATTTTAAAAAATAAAAAAAAGGCAATTAAAAAAACAACAACATAGGTTCAGAGTGTTAAGTAATTCCCCAAGATTATAGATCAAGGGACTAGCAAAGGAAAGATTTGAAATGAGCTTCCTCTGGCTACAAAGTTCTCTCTGCTGTGATGTTACACTGCCATATTATGAAATAGTACTTCTAATTAAGTTCTAAAATTTTCATGGTCATCATGGCTGGAGATGAATGATATATGATTAACTCAAAAATTTCTAATCTATTGCTGATTTAAATAGTCAGAATTAAAAAGAAAACTGTGAGACTTATGAAAGACACAATATAGAGCAAGTCTGCTACGGTGAAATAAACAGATATAGACACTGGAATTAAGTAATCTGGCTCAAAGGCACAGTCTTCCACAAATTTAGTATGATTTATTCTCTTGAGTTTCAGTTTCCTTATCTGAAGAGTGAAGACAAATGCCTCTTCTCTAATGCTCACAGAAAATACAGTTTTCCCTTTCATAAATTACCTAGAGAAAACTCCTGAAATACTTAGGAGAATCACCACTTTCCCCACCTGCAATAGATATAAACCAAGAATTTGCGTCAGCCAACTTTCCAGTATGAAGCAAAGCCTCTTCTTCCTCCTACCGATGATTGAGTCATTCTTCAATTAGATAGCAGTAACTATTTAAACCCTCCAGCAGCAGCTCACAAATTCTTACTTTATGGAGAAGTCCGTGACTACTTCACTCTCTCATTCTTGGAACGAATTTGGAAATGACATTTGATGACCTTAAGAGTAAGACCATGAAGGATCAACCTGACCAGAAGCCAAATGGAGAGAAAGGCAAAGGTACTAGGGGTGGGTGAATGGGCACAGGGACAGAATTCCAGGATTAGCTCCAAATGTAAATTAACTGAATATAGGATTAGAAAGCTAAAACACCAGAGTATGGAAAACACAGTGTAGAATTAGTAACACTTACTTAAAAGAAAAAAATTCAGATGCAATGAGGATGATGATGTGAATGAACTAACTTGGTATGAATGATGATGTAGTAGACACTTGTATGGAACATTTATCAAGGGCTATGTTCTCTGATATTCTCTTTATGTGCGTTACTTCTCTGAATCCTTACACCTTGAAATTAGGACTATGATAATTCCCCTTTTACGAAAGACTGATTGAGGATCAGGAGAATTAACAAAACCATTCATTTTTATGCAGCTGGTAAGTGGTAGAACTAGAATTGTATCGCAACTTTCCCTTTATCAAGAATCCAATCCATCAGAAAGTTAAGGAGATGTTGAATTCACCCAGTATATACAATGATAATTTTATAGTAAGTTTTCTTGAGGCATTGCAAAAACTGGATATAGTTTTATGAATTATCCAAAGCAGATTAAATGATATTCAGTATAGTTTAGCATAAGTCATGTCTTCTTGTGTACTACTGCTTTGAAAATTATAATTTTTTGATATATACAGTAAGTTAAACTCATTAAATGTAAATTAATTCATAATGCCAATTCCACAGACAGTCTGAATAAATTGCCCTTTACCTTATACTGATTCTGAGAGAAAGGAAAAAAATACAAATAGGGGAAGTCCTACAAGTGTTGACAGGAATTTGGATAATGACATTCCAGGTCATATTTCCATAAACAAGATAGAAATTTCCCTCAACAGAGATAAGAAGTATGAATATGGAATGATTGAACATTTGAGTTGATGAACTTAACTTGGTATGAAAACAGCACTGCCATTTATAGGTAGCCCTACAAAGTCAACAAAAGTCATTCATTCATTCATTCTTCATGTAGTAAATATTGAGTGCCTGAGTTTTACTACAATTATTAAGCTAAATCTTTTCTCAGAATCTGATTAGATCAATCACCTCCTGCAAAGAAGTCAATTGCTTTCTGATCAGAAAATCACTAATGGGAGCAGAGATTGGGTTAATGGTCTCTACCTACCAAGGAAATGGGACAAAGGGTGGCCTGAAGAAAATGGGAGCATGTGCCTTCCCTACACAGGTGTGGATCCTGTGGTTTTCTTCTAAAAATTCAGGAGTTTCATCTCCCAGAGTGATAGATATTTTTGTTCTCCTATAGTATAGAATGAATACTGACCAGAGAGAAATATTGGTTGAAAGATTTACACAGATATCTACCCCCAAGCTAGGATTAGGCAATTATTTGCAAGAGACACAACTATCTTCTGCTTCTCTGCTACCTTTCCACATATACCCCAGGAGCTAAACAACGTTTGAATCAGTGAATGAACTTTATTTCTTCCTGTTAAAATTTCTATCTGGGCTGTCTCATCTTTAAAGTCTAATAGAAGTGCTTTGGGCATAACAAGAACTCTGTGAATATATTTGACCATTGATTGATTTGGATTGTTACACATCCACACTGGAAATTTTGTGGTGCAGTGTTCTAAGCTGCATAGCTACTGACAGATTAAAGACCTATGTTTGGATCTTAACATCAGTGTGATCTTACACAATTCACTGAAACTTTGAGTTTTGTTAGCCACAAATAAAGGAAAATATGACCAGTGCCTTATTTGTTTATTGTACAGGGTGAGAGGTCCAGATGGATTACATGAGATATTTTCCTGCTGAACCAAAATATCTGTGCTTTTGTAGTGGTGGAACACATAATTAGGTATCCATATGCCTGTGAGCTACATGATTTATTTGTTTCTATAATAATGGTGAACATTCCTCTTGTAACTATGGGGCCATGGCTGGTGTGAGTATAGGAACATTAATATGAATCACAGTAGTATTGAAGTCTCATTCCTAGTTTCATTTGGTCAACAACCTCAGTTCCAAGATGTAATTTTAGTAGAATAAAAATTGAAAGCACAAAAGCAATTCTTTGAGGCAATCTGTTGATTAACTGACTAAAGCTTATTTGCTTGGTATCTGACATTCTTTTATGGTATGCTACTTATAAAACACACTGTATGGGAGGTGTGTGTGTGTGTGTGTGTGTGTACATGCATACACATGGTCTATATTAAAAATATAAAGTTGATCTAACCAAGATGGACTGAGCATTTCTTGGAGAGTCATTGCAGGCAGAGTGAATAAGTACAAGCTTTAGAGAATCAGATACCTACCGTCACATACCTGGTATTGAATCCTGGTTCTTAAACTGTGTCAATCGTGTGACCATGGGTAAATTACTTAAATTCTCTGTCTCTATTTTGTCATCTGTAAATATGGATAATGAATTATTTGCAGAGCCCTTGGGAGAACTAGAGGTAAGAAATGCAAAGTACCAGGTACAGACAGTTTCCAAAGAATTGTTTGATGACTTGCTTCCATCTGTTATGTCCTTCTGATTCTATCCTTTATCATTCTAGGTCTTCATTTTCTTTCTTCTCGGTGCTGGTGCCTTGCTGCTGCGATTCTAGGGATCCTTTGCTTGGGATTACTGGTGACTCTTATAGTGCTGATAATGCGACGTAAGTACTAGAACGGGGGAATAATGGAAGACAAAGTGAGAACTTGCAAACATGGTTTATTAATTGGTTTGATAACAATTGCAAACATCCTTGATTTAGATGCATTTTAGGCAAACGTTTTAGAATGAGTGGGAAGATGAATAAGTATATTGTTCTTATCCCTCAAATTGACTGGGACACGGAGTGAAGATTATGAATGGTAGGTTTTTGTTTTGTTTTGTTTTGTTTTGATAACTTCATGGATAAAGTCTGTTTAAATACTGGAATGATGAGGAAAAAAATAATTTGAAGCTACTAAGCCACAAGATCCCCTAAGAGATCCAAAAGGAATAGAAACATCATAGAGTTCACATTGAGCTTTAATAGAGATGATTAATTACCAATATAAAGTTAAGATTCAGAGGGGCCCCTCGGTGGCTCAGTCAGTTAAGCATCTGCCCCCATTTCAGCTCAGGTCGTGATCTCATGGTCGGTTCCCGAGTTTGAGCTCTGCGTCGGATTTTGCGCTGAAGGCATGGAGCCTGCTTGGGATTCTCTCTCTGTCTGTCTCTCTCTCTCTCTCAAAAACAAATAAGCTTAAAAAATGAAAAACAAATTTAAGAATCAGAAACACCTTCTTAATAAGTGAAACATTTAAAATAAATGTAATTCAAATGTATAATATGGTCATTCAGAAAAGACGATGTTGGCGGGAAGAGAAGTGGTAAGAAGCATGAGAAAGCCCAAGAAAGAATGAAAGTGGTGCAGACCACCCACCTATTCTGCCTGTGTATTTAAGTTGTAGTTCTGGGTTGTTTCATCTATCTAGAATCTAGATGATTAAGGCCTTTGAGGTGCTATTTGCTTCTCAGTTGTTGGTTAAGACCATAGAATATTTATTTTTTTAATCTGTTAACGCTTAAGACCTTCCCTAATGACTAGAAGAAGAGCCCTTGACTCAGGGGTGGTGATTGGATGAATCTTCCTGTGGGAAGAATCACTTCACAACAGAGTCTGATATGGCCTTCAAGCCAATGGTCTGTTTTGTACTAAACCATCACACTTCTAGAACTGAGACATTTGACTCTTAATATTAGTTGCCTGTTAGATTTCACAAACATGTCATCCCCATCTTTCCTAAAATGTGCTGTGGCAGAAAAAAAATTCCTAAGAAACAAAAATGTTTGAAACTGTTATGACATAGCAACTTAAAATAATTCTGTGTCTCAAAAAAAAAAAAAAGCTGTCACAGTTTTTAAATAAAATTAGGAAATTCAGAAGGGGAGAGAGTTAGCAGAAGAATAAAGAAACAAATAGAGCAAATCACTAATGACACTGCTCTTAATAGTCACTGAGTCTGGTCGGCACCTATTTTAGATGGTCTGTATTTTAGTAATTGATATACTACTTATCTTATGATTGCTTTTAAACTTGTCTATAACTATCAATAATAAGTAAAATCCTATTTTGTGCTGTTTTTTTTTAATCAAAAGTGTTTGTTTAAACAGTTTAACAGTTCCTGATATTTAGAAAAATGTGTTTGTTTAACAGTTCCTGATATTTAGAACAAAAATACTGCAGAAATATCAAATAACTTTTAAATCTATAATTTCTGAGCAAATATGGGTCATTCTCCAGCAGTTCATCTATTGTCAAAATAGACAAGTTGATTTGATTCTTTGATTTCCTCAAAATCCAGTTAAAGGGATTTTTTCTGGGGATTGGTAATGGAGTTCTTATTTCAGCTATGATTTAGTATCACAGGCGTCTGATCTCCTAAAGCAACATCAAGCGAACCTTACTCACCAGGAAATTATACTGGAGGGACAGATTTTAGCACAGCAGCAAGCACAAAAAGCTTCCCAGGAGTCAGAAAAGGAACTCAAGGAAATGATCAAAAACCTTACCCAGAAGCTGGATGAAAAATCAAAAAAACAGATGGAACTTCATCGCCAGAACCTGAATCTCCAAGAAGCTCTGAGGAAAGCAACAAACTTTTCAGGTACGGCGGGGTGAAGAGCCCCCAACCATGAGCCCATTGTGGGGCTCAAACTCATGAACCCGTGAAATCATGGCCGGAGCGGAAGTCAAGTGCTCAACCAATTGAGACACCCAGGCACCCCAACCTCTTCTCAATTTTTAAAATTCTAGTTTTGAGATTTTACTGGAAGAATTCTCCTACCCTTACCTTTTGCCACAGATTACTTCTTTCCATTCCAAGATATCTTAATCATTGATTTCTTTCCCTGCAGAGTCTCCTTTGTCCCTGGGTAGCTCTACATTAACTTTATTCTATAACACTTTTTCTTAAAGTATTCAACATCTGCTTAAATTAAATAAGTGGAGGTAGGCTGACTTGGAAATGTTGAGTAGATACTTTAGATAAGAACAAAATATGAAGGGCCCAGGAAGTCAGTTTATCTGAGAAGAATTGATTCAATGTCAGTATCGAGGAGAGGCAGGTGGAAATAGTAGCATCTATAAGAAGGGGATGATGATGTGAATTCTGATGATATTACAGAGGTATCTGTGTCATTTAGTCTTTCTATAACATGTAATTAAATCAGGGATATGCTTTTCATCATAGAGAGATTTAACAAATATGAGATGGCGTTACTTTCAGAGGTTCATTGCTTCCTTGAAGGTATATGAATGAGTGCTCTATTCTCAGCATTAGTAACTAACTACCACCAATAAACAGAGATTTCTCCAGTTTCTTGCTCTACACCTCAATTGATCTCAACGACATAATTTATTTGAGTAAGGATTATATAATAACAGTTCACAAATACACACAGATCTCTTTATTTTAAGGGATGAAAAAAATTGATAGCCAGATAAGGTAAATAATAATAACAATACTACATAGCTTTTTATAAAGTTTTGAAGTTAATAAATCCCTTCAGTATTTATAAGGTTATTTAAATTTCCAGAAGAAGAGCGATTTTTAGATAAATTGATCTTTAGCAAGTGTCAAACATATTATTTCATCTTTTATTTTTTAAGTAATTTTTTAAAGTTTATTTTTATTTGAGAGAGAGATAGAGAGCAATCAGGGGAGGGACAGAGAGAGAGAGAGAGGGAGACAGAAACCCAAGCAGGCTCTGCACTGCCAGCACAGAGCCGGATGCGGGGCTCGAACCCACAAACCCTGAGATCATGACCTGAGCTGAAGAGTCAGACACTTAACCAACTAAGCTACCAGACACCCCTTATCCCTTTACTAAAGAGCAAACTACTGAGGAAATGAAAGAATACATCACCTCTAAGAAGGTATAAAGGAAGAAGACTAATATATCAAGGACAGGAATATTTATATAAGCAGACATAGCCACATACCAACCAATGATTTATTCCCCAGGTGAGACTGTAAAAGCATTTTTTAAATCAGTTGTATGAAATTAGATCTACCTCACAACCATCCAGAATCATCTCCCAGAGATTCCAGGCATGGACAACCAATCAAAAATAATAAGTAATCTGTTTTTCACGTGATAGATATCCCAGATAAAACATACCATTTCTTGACAGCGTCAGGTCAAGGCCAATTAGCAGAGATAGCAAATAAAGTACGGCTTTTCATCAAGCGGCTTTGAGAAGATTCTCAAAAACATTAACAGTAAAATGCCTTGTGCAAAAATTAAGCCCATTTTCTCAAGTTTGAGAAAAGGTAAATCTTTCTTACTAACAAGTCTGTGGTCCACAGGGTACATATGAAGAGAGAGGGACTCTGAGAAGTTACTGAACATGGTTTGCTGGGATTCATCCAGCTAGAAAAATGAAGGGTTTTTAGAGCAACGGTCTTCACATTCAGCCCGGAAATTCATGGTGGCTGTCAACCTTTTGTGCACCACATTGTCACTCCAGTAGCTTGTAAAAAAAAAAATGGCAGTTTCCACATTTACTCCTAGATTCTGTATCAAAATGTCTTGAAGGGCACCATGAAATATTTCTTCAATTGATTCAGACCCAGAAGTTTGAGATGTAGGGCAACGAATGATTCAACACTTGGTTTTTCTAGTGCTAGGCTGTCAAGGTTCACATTATGTGCCAAATGAAGAAAATGAATGAAACTTATCTTACCATGTTGTCGTGAGGGTTCAATGAGTTAATATGTGCAAAGAACTGCCAACAGTTTTAGGCACATGGTGATATTGTTTTTTTTAAATAAAAAAAATTTTTTTTTAATTAAATGAGGGGAGCCTGGCTGGCTTGGGCAGTGGAGCAGGTGACTCTTGATCTTGGAGCTGTGAACTGAAGCCCCAACCTTGGGGTTAGGATTTACTTAAACAAATTAAATTAAAAGAAATACAGGTAGTTTGAATACCACATATGTCTATGTGTTGAACAACACATGTCTAGAAACAGGAAACTCAGTAATTCTTTCAGTGTTTATTTATTTATTTTGAGAGAGAGGGAGAGCATGTGTGCACGCCATGTGAGAGAGTTGGGGGAGGGGAAGAGAGAGATGGAAAGAAAGAATCCCACACAGACTCCATGCTCAGCATGGAGCCCGACTTGCGGCTCAATTTCATGAAGGTGAAATCATGTCTGTAAGATCATGACCTGAGCCAAAATCAGTCATGTGCTTAACCGACTGATGTCACCCAGGTGCTCCCAGTAAGTGTAGTATTTAAGCCTGAATTTGAAAAACCAAAGTTTTAAAAATACAGAAGCATATCTTTTTTTAAAAAAAGATGTTATATCTAAATAATCTCTATACTCAAGGTGGGGTTCAAACCCACAACTCCGAGATCAGGAGTTATTCCTTCCACTGAGTGAGCCAGCGAGGTGCCCGGGTATATCTTTTTAATAGCAGAATTGCTATTATGTATCCATTTCCCAGCCTTTTACTTCCATTATTCCAAATATAACTTTAAAAACTAGATCAGATTCTACAACTACATGTCAGCTCAATTTTGCTTTTCTTTCTTTTTTTTTTTAAATGTTTTTTTTTTATTTCTGAGAGAGAGAGACAGCGTGAGCAGGGGAGGGTCAGAGAGAGAGGGAGGCACAGAATCTGAAATAGGCTCCAGGCTCTGAGCTGTCAGCACAGAGCCCAACGTGGGGCTCGAACCCAGGAACCACGAGATCATGACCTGAGCTGAAGTCGGACGCTTAACCAGCTGAGCCACCCAGGCACCCCTCAATTTTGCTTTTCAACAGTCTTGTTTTTTATTTAGTTTACTAACATCAGGATATTTAAAAAAAAAATAAAGACTATGAGTCTATTGAGGTATTTGCAGACTCTAGATATAATTCTAATTAAGAAGAGATAATAGGTAGTGCACCTGGGTAGCTCAGTTGGTTGAGCATCTGACTCTTGGTTTCTGCTCAGATCATGATCTTGCAGTTTGTGAGTTTGAGCCCAGTGTCAGGCTCTGTGCTGACAGTACAAAGCCTGCTTGGGATTCTCTCTGTCTCTGTCTCTGTCTCTCTCTGCCTCCCCTTCCCTCTCTTTCTCTCTCTCAAAATAAATAAGTAAACTTTAAAAAGAAAAAGAAAAACAAGAGATGATATACATGTGACAGTCCTGAGGGAAGAATTGATTGAAGAATTGTAGAAATATTTTCACTCAGGCATCACTCACTGACTAGATATGCTTATATTCCTAGGTCCTTGTCCCCAAGACTGGCTCTGGCATGAAGAAAACTGTTACCTATACTCCTCTGGCCCATTTAATTGGGAAAAAAGTCAGAACTATTGCTTGTCTTTGGACGCCCAGATGCTGAAAATTAATAACACAGATGATCTGGTGAGTCTTTATGTTGTATATTGAACTGGAGTATTGGCTTATAGGAAAATAAACCTGATTTACACCCTTAGGGGAGGAGCACTTGTTTGAGTATCAGAATACTTATTTTCAAGCCTCATCTGACCACTAAATATGCACATGACCTTGGATAAAGAGGTTACATAGTATCTTAGGCTTCAGTAAACGTTTCTGGGAAACTACAGAAAGGATGTCAAAGATCTCTTTTGGTTCTATTGTTTTGTGAGTCTAGTCTAAAAAGCCTACACTGACTTTATTATCAATTTAGATCAACATTACTCCCCACAGGAATTCATCCAGCAAGCCAGTGCCCATTCCAGTTTCCCGTTCTGGATAGGCTTGTCTCTGAGGCAGCCCAGCAGCTCGTGGGTCTGGGAGGATGGCTCTCCTTTGATGCCCCACTTGTAAGTTTCCTATTCTTTGCTGAACCTGTTCGTGAAGTTGCTTTAGCATTCCGTACAATGTCCTCCTCTTGCTAGGGAGAAATTTTGAGAATTTCTGAACATCTCCTTCCCCACCTCTGTCAGACAGAGACTTGCCCATTTAGTCATTCAGACCTTCTTTTGAGTTTTCCTTCCCACATTTACTGCTGATTTGAAGCTTTAAGGCAAGGTTAAGACAGCTGGGTGGCTCAGTTTGTTAAACATCGGGCTCTTGATCTCCACTGAGGTGGTGAGTTCAAGCCCCACATTGGGTTCTGTGCTGACAGTGCAGAGCCTGTTTGGGGTTCTCCCCCCCACCCCCCCACACTGTGTTTGCTCGCTCGTCGCTGTCTCTCTCAAATGAATTTAAGGAAAAAAGACAAGGTTAAATTTATGATCACAAGGTGGCAGTAAATCTTTTTTTTTTTTTTTCTTTTCTTCGCCATCTGCAGGTTTCGGTTCCAAGGGTCCCTTTCCCAGATGTATCCCTCAGGCACTTGCGCATATATACATAGGGGAGCGGTTTTTGCTGACAACTGCATTTTAACTGCGTTCACTATATGTCAGAAGAAGGCGAATCTAGTGAGAGCACAGTGAATTTGAAGGCTCTGGAAGAAAAGGAGAAAGAGAATTCTCGTCTGGAATTGAAGTTGTACTTTATCATTTAGGTGCAAACCCAGAGAACCCTGAGAACTGCCTCTTATTAGCTGACTGCAGAACTCCTCAGCAGAGACTCGTCTGCAGATGCCTGGCTGGAGATATCCAAAATTTTGATTTGATGTCTCGTTCTCTGTTATTTTTCACCTTGTCCCGTCTCCCTGTCAGCCTTCAAACCTTCTCCCCTTTTTTATATTTTAAAGTTTTACTCCTCTTCAAACCTTGGAGCCCCTGTACTCAATCCTCTACCTCAGTGCCGTCTGCCCCTTAGCCTCCTAAACCACATCGAAGACAGAAAATGGAGAACTTGACCCACTGCGAGCAGATGGCAAAAATGGGGAAATCTGCAGGGGAACAGAGCTGGTGATGAAACAGAAAAGGGGAAAGTCCATAATGGAATCAAAGAACTTGTGTTCTTCATGTTAAAAGCTACCACTTCTTGGTCTTTTAAATTGCGATCTGTCTCCACACTCCACAACTTAATGCACGTGCGCGCGCGCACACACACACCCCCCCCCCCATAATATCACATTCTGGGGCGATTGGGATGTCCCAGGAGGTAATTACAAACAGAATGATCTATTTTCAGTGTTTCTACTCCCTGGCCACCTCCCTTCCTAGGTTCTTCTACTTTAAGAGAAGCCTTTCCATTTTGTTGCACATAATCTAAGAGAAAATAATCTCTTAGATTAATAATGTTGCACATAATCTAAAAAGAAAAACTGTATTATTCCCAGAAAGACAAGCTACATTTTCTTTGGGTAGCAGGTTTATAGAGGTTTAATCAGCATAAAACAAACGGAACATATTTAAATTACACAATAGTTAAGTTTTCATAAATGTAAGCACGTTCCCTTGAAATCATTACCACAATTAAGAAAGTGAACATTCTCATTTCCCCCTCAAATTTATCTTTCCCTTCCCTAACGCCTTCTCCTCAGAGAATGACCAATCTCCTTTCAGGTTGTATTTTGTAGCATTTTATGTGAATGGAGTTACACAGTATGCCCCTTGGGTTTTTAGTTTGGGTCCAACTTCTTTCACCGAGTATAATCATTTTGAGATTCATCTGTCTTGCTGCTTATATCAGTTTTTCACCCATCTAAAATATTCAGTGTTATTCCCTTGTATGAGTATACGCCCCAATTTGTGGATAAATTACCTGTTGATGACCTTTGCATTGTTTTCAGTATTTGTCTATCACAAAATAAGGTGCTATGAACATTTGTGCACAAGTCTTTCTAGGTACATAGCATTTCTCTTTTCTTGAGTAAATGCTTAGCAGTTTAATGTCAGGGACATTCAGTAGGTGTATGTTCAGCTATTTGAGAAATGGCCAAACTTTTTTCCAAATTTGTACCATTTGATATTCCCACCAGCAGTGTATGAATGTTCCAATTCCAAGTCATCCTTGCTAACACTTGGTATGGTCCGTCCTTAAACTTCAACCATTCTGATAGGTATATGGTGGTATATTACTCTGGTTTAATTTGCATTTCCTAAATGAAAATTCATCTTGAGATCTTTTTATTTACTAATGGCGCCTATTTACGCTCTACATATTTTCTTTGATAAAGCACCGTACAACGCTTCCAAGAAGTTTTGAGTTGTTTGTTTTTTTACTGAGCCCATTGTCTATGCCAAGTAAAAATCTTTTATCAGATATCATTTTGATGATACGTTTTTTTTTCAGTTTATGGCTTTTAAGTCTCTGGAAAAGCAGGACATTTTAAACTTTGTCCATTTTCATGTTTCTACTGCTGTTTCTAAGAACTTGTTGCCAAATTCAAGGTCACAAAACTTTCTGCTATGTTTTCCTCTAGACATTTTATAATTTCTGATTTTACACGCAAATCTGTAATTTATCTTGAGTTAATTTGTGAGTCATGTATTAAAGCGCTTTCTCTCTCTGTCTTATTTTTCATATTGCATATGGATATTCACTTGTTTTAGCAACATTTGTTGAAAAGATTATTCTTTCTTCACTACATTGCCTTTGCACTTTTGTCCACAGTTACCCATAGATGCGTGGGCCTATTTCTGGCTCTCTATTATGTTCCCTTGACCTACTTCTATATTTTTATACCACCACCATGAATATTGCAGTTTCTTGAAAACTTGTAGTGGTTGTCCTTCAATGTTGTTCTTTTTCAATGTTGTTTTGGCTAATGTATGTCTTTGTATTTCCATGTTAACTTTTGAATTGGCTTGTCAATTTCTAAAAACAAACAAGCCCTGTTGAAATATTGAATGGGATCACATTGAATCTATTAGATACACTTAAGGGAAATTGAAATTTTAAAAATACTTGTTTGTTTGAATCATAAACAAGGGATACCTCTCCATTTGTCTATGTGTTCTTTAATTTCTCTAAGCAATGCTTTGTAATTTTCTCTGTACAGATGTTTCACATATTTTCTTAGATTGTCATCATATATTTCATATTTTTGATGCTACTAGAAGTGGTATTATTATCATCTGTAATTTTTATTTCCAAATGTCTTTTGCTAGTATAAAGAATTATAATAAACTTTTTTATATTAATCTTAAATCCTGACCTGGAAACATTTATTTTTTCTCATAAGTTTGTTTGTGGATTCCATTGGATTTTTACATAGATAATCATGTCATCTGCAAATGAAAACACTTTTATTTTTACCTTTCTAGATGCTTTTATTTCTTCCCCTTGCTAGATTTCATGGACTAGACCCTCTAGTACAACACTGAATGAAAGTGGTGAGAAGGAGGGTCCTTATTTTGTTCCTGATCTTGGAAAAAATCATTCAGTGTTAGTATCATCACATGTGGTATTAACTGTATATTTTTCATAATATTTCTTTACTTGCTTGAAGAAGTAGAATGCTGAGAGATTTTTATCAGGAATGGGTATTGATTTGCCTACGTCTACTTTTTCTACATCTATAAAGATGATCATATATTTCAATTTTTTCCTTTTTAGTTTTTTAATATGATGAATTACATTGAATAGTTATAAAAGGTTAAATCAATCTTGGGTTCTTGGGATTTATTATCATTTTAATATATCAGTGGATTAATTCTGCTAAAATTTGGCTTAGGAATTTTGTAACTACATGCACGAAAGATATTGTTATGTAATTTGCTTTCCGTGTAAAGGCTTTGTCTGATTTAGGTTTTAGAGAAGTACTCCTCTGTGTTAATTTTCTGGAAGGTTTTGGGTGGAATTGGTACTATTTGTTCATTAAGTGTTTGATACAGTTTATCACTGAGATCATCTGGACATGGGCTTTCTCTCTTTTTTTTTTGTTTGTAGTTTTTTTAACTATAGATTCAGTTTCTTCAATGGATGTGATAACATTCAAATGATTTTTTTTTTTTACTTTTTATTTTTGAGAGAGAGACAGGGTGCGAGCAGGGGAGGGGTAGAGAGAGAGGGAGACACAGAATCTGAAGCAGGAACCAGGCTCTGGACTGTCAGCACAGAGCCTGATGTGGGACCCGAACCCACAGACCATGAGATCATGACCTGAGTCGAAGTCAGATGCTTAACCAACTGAGCCATCCAGGTGCCTCCAAATGATTCTTCCTTGAGAGTGATTTGTTGGTTAGTGTCTTTCAAGGAATTTGTCCATTTTATCTAAATGTTTAATTTTTTGGCCTAATATTTTTCTTTATATTTTCTTATTATCATTTTATTTTATTTTTTAATGTTTATTTATTTTGAGGGAGTGTGAGCGCACATGCACATGTGTGTGCAATTGGGGAAAGGCAGAAAGAGAAGGGGAAAGAGAATCTCAAGCAAGCCCTGTGCTGTCAGCACAAGTCTGATAGGGGCTTGATCTCACGAACTGTGAGATCATGACCTGACCTGAAATAAAGAGTCAAGAATGAGATGCTTAATCAACTGAGCCATCCAAGCTCTCCTTTTTTAATATCTCTAGAATTTATATTAATGAAACTTCTCTCATTCCTGACATTGTTAATTTTTTGTCTTTTTTTAAAAAATGTTTTGTTTAGAGGAAAAGTTCATTTTTCTTCTTGACGAAACATTTTTTTCCACTGTATTTACTTTTTTGTGTAAAGAGGCTGTTACTGTTTTGCTTTCTATTTTATTAATATCTGCTTCAACTGATATGTTTTTTTCTTTTTTCTACTTAATTACGTTCTAGTTTGCCCTTCTTTTTCTAGTTTAAGGTGAAAGCTCAGTTCAGGGACCCCTGGGTGGCTCAGCTGGTTAAGCATCTGACTTCAGCTCAGGTCACAGACTCATGGTCTGTGAGTTCAAGCCCCATATCAGTGTCTGTGCTGACAGCTCAGAGCCGGGAGCCTGCTTTGGATTCTGTGTCTCCTTCTCTCTCTGCCTCTCCCCCACTTATGCTCTGTCTCTCTCTGTCTCTCAAAAATAAATAAATACTAAACAATTTTTTAAATAAAAGATGAAAGCTCAGTTTATTGATTTCGGATCTTTTTCTCTTTTTAAATAGGGTCAGTCATGTTGTGGTACACATTTTCCCTTAAGCACTGCTATAATGGCATGCAACAAACTCTGATTCCCCTCCCCCATATTCTTTCAGTTCAAAATACTTCCTAATTTCCCTTTAATTTCTGTTGTCTCCTAACTTCCTTAGGAGCTTCCTGTTCCTGGATGAAGTCTGAAGTTGGCCCCCTTCTCAGAGGCCAAAGGGAGACCAAAGAAAGAGGCAGGCCACTCCAGGTCGGTAGGTGGTAGGTTCAATAAGCAAAGGAAACTTAAATACAAGGTTTGTGTCAGGCGACAGCAAGACTACTTAACCCCCCACTCACTCTCCAAATATTAAAAATGTATGCAGGGGCCTCAACTAGGCTCAACCATGTACACAATGCAGGTGTTTTCATCACCACATCACTATCTCGAGGCTGTGTCCTTGGAGCAGCCCTTGGGAGCAGGAAGGACAAAGGGAACCCACACTGAAGGACCGAGGAGGGAATGAGGAAGCTCTAACTGCCAGTCCAGCTCGTGGGTCAACTGGAGGTCATGTCTTTTTGATGACCTTCCCCAAAACTCCACCCTTCATGACTAACTTTTACAATTTCATGTGCCCTCCTCTTCCCCAATGTGCCCTGAGCAGTCAACAAAGAGTTTCACCAGTATGGAGGCAGCTCCTTAGGTGGCTATCTGGCTGTACTGGAGACAGATGCTACAGCAATAATACAGGTACATGTAAGAGAAAACAGAGATTAAGACAATGATTCCAAGGCGCCTGGGTGGCTCATTCGGTTAGGCATCAGACTCTTGATTTCAGCTCAGGTCATGATCTCATGATTTGTGAGGTCAAGACCTTCATCGGGGTCTGCCTTGATGGTGTAGAGCCTTGGGACTCTCTCTTCCCCTCCCCTACTCACGTTCCTTCTCTCTCTCTCTCAAAATATATAAAAACCTTTTTAAAAATCTTTAAAAAAACAAAACAAAACAATGATTTCAAAATCAGTGCCGCATTTTTCTACCAAGAGACTCATGATCCAATCCATTGGTTTATTAAGTCCCCTGAGCTGGGGGTTAGATCATTCAGGTCATCTACCTGTGTTGTTTTGTGACTTAATAAAGATGATACCTTAGCAGATTTATTAGGTATGGACACATAGCATTCTGTTTGGATAATGGCATAGGTGTGTCCTTGAGAGGCAATAATGATGTCTGAGGCCATTCTATTTTGGAAGACAGCTCTTCTCATTAGAGTCTGGTTGGGTGAATTTAGCAAGGACTCCTACATGTGTTATAACATCCTCTAAAACAATGAGGGAACAAAGATAGCAGCCAAATGATGAACCAGTGGAAAACAGAATGTGCCCATCTGATCTTGAGGAGAGGGAGGTTGGCAGATTTAGGAACCTGACCCGGTTGTACATATCATGTATATTCACTGGGGGAGGCAGCGCTGTCAGGCATGAGGAGGTGGACTGGGGACAGGGTATGCCAGGCCAGGACCCATATCTTCTCTCTTTCCGTGGTGCACATTCCATTCCAGGTATAGTGCGTTTCAACAGGTCCATCTTGCAGCAGGACGATAGAATTTCAGTGGAGACTGAATAGTTTCCCTTCACCCAGAGGGTGCAAACTAACTCACTCATCTTGGGGGAATGTCCCATTGCAAATTCCAGGAGATACCTTTTTTCCCAGGAACAGCCAGGGGCTTTGTGCTCTCAGCAGCACGGAACTTTGATCCTCAGTGAGAGTCAGGTCAGTGGCTGTTTCCCAAGACCTCCATACCTTTATGGGACCTGTGTCTCAGCAGGGGTCCTTAGTCTGGAATGTGGAGCAACGGGCCCTCGGGCCCTCGTGTGATTGATCAATCAAATGCATCAAAGCCTGGGAAAGCACTTTAGTCTGCCCAGTCAAGGTGGTTTTACCTGTTAATAATTTAATCTGCTGCTCACCCTTTATAGAGAAGATGGTACATCCAGTGTCAGTCTTTGTGCCCAGTCTTGTACCTCATGACCTTTGACGTGTGCCCCCTCGCCACTGTCTATGGGACTCAGCTTCTCTCATCCCCTAATGGTGGCACCCTGGTTTGCACAGTGACAGGGGAAAGTTTGGGTCAGGTCAGGCGCAGGGCTCACACAAATCAAGTCATATTTAG